TAGATAAAAAACACATGAAAAAGTCTACATTCACACAAAACATTAAAAACAAAGCTCAAAAAGACTAAGTCAATTATACGCCGAACTAAACCCGACACATCGAACACATGTGCTTCAGCCTCAACAATAAGGAGAAACACATGTCACCATATCTCTTCTTCTTCTCCAACACCATAGAAAGCAATCGGTGTTATGCCGGAGACATACTAGAACATCACAGACTTCTTCCACAGCTGAGAACCATCCTACAGAGAGCTTCCAATCAACGATTGTTGAGATATCAGAGCCACCAAGCCACCAAACATAGGATTAATAAATTATGAAACCCCCATCTCACTTATCTTCACCACCTTAGCTTCAGAATTGGAGAGCATCGATCAATCTATTCGAGATCCGATAGAAGGGTTGAAAGAAACCGACAACATGACCACATACAATTAAACCCCGCCCTAACAAAAAGGGTTGAAAGAAACTAAAGCCGACAACGCAAGGCTTTGAAAGCCTCCACTCCTCGGAGTCGTAAGCCGGCGACGGCAGAGCTCACGAAGCTTCCATCTCCCGGAGTCAAAAGATTGATCAAATGTAATAGTTAAGATATTGATATTATTAGTTGCATGATTTTTATTACCTAATAACACCTTAGCTTGTTCACCAGTATTTCTAATTAATGCAAACACTCCTTTTACTGAAACTTATGAAATCATATGCTACATATATTAATTGCATGCATAAAACCTGTTATAACATCTAAGTTCATGAGGGAAAGATTTATCAAAGATATTTTTTTTTGAAAAAGGTCACCATAATCATTAATTAGTTTTGTGAAAACCAATATTATGGTCTAATCATCACCGAAGATGTACGTGTAATGTATATATACTTTAGATCAACATATAGTCAATACTTTCGATTTTTTTTTTGGTAAACACAAAATACTTTCAGTCCTGAAAACATTAATGCATGGAATCAGTATTAAACATAACTAATATTATGTAATGCATCCCATATGCAAACCAGTGATATAAATTGTCTTGACATATATTTTCGTGTACTATATCCTACATATATTAATTGCATAACATATAAGTTCATAATAAAAAAAATGACCAATCTAATATCGTGAATATTTAATAAATATAAATGTAGATGATTCATAAATTATAAGATTATGAGAAATGAGTATGAATAGACAATACAATGTATGTTATAATAGGTTTATGTAGAATAACCTATTTTAATTCTGAGATGTCCCACCAATAACATATAAATATATTTGTTTTCTGAGCAAATGATTATGAGAAATTGATACGTGTATACACTAACTCAAAATGTATACACATCAGTGTTTATATGATTAATGCAAACATTTTTTTCTCATCGGTTCAACTCAAATATGTAACTGAATGAAGAATATAGAATTTAAAACCGAAATGGTATGTTTTAATACTACGACATTGGGATTGGTATATTTTGATAAAACCTTTAATTATAAGAATAAAATTAATGGGCTTGAGCTGTTTAAGAAAATTCTGTATGATAATTCTCTAGAAAAATAATTTAAGGTTTGTCAAAATTCTTTATGATGATGCCACATCAGCAATTAGAAGATGTATTGGAATGACATCTAAGCAAGATCATTTTGTATTTAAAAGATCCTCAAATAATATATGAGATTTTTTAGAACTTGGTTTTTGTGCAACCATGATAAAAAAAAAAATTCAATCATGCATGTGGTGTTAATTATATGGTTTTTCTTTTTGATTGCTAATACATCTCTTCATCCTCTGAACTTGTGCCAATACTCTTTTTCTAAGAATTCAAGTTAAGGTTTTACAATAAGTTGTTGGCAAATTATAGATAACTTAAGTGAAACTGATGTCCTGCCAAAAAATGATTAAAAAGTGGAAGTAGACAACAAGCAGTAAATCTTCAAACTTACTTTATAAGCATCAGAAATAGCAATATATGAGTAGAATGTCTAGTTGAGGAAAAGTGGCAGAACAGCAAAAGAAAAGAGATGCAAATCGTTGGTAAGCAAAAGGAAGCTGATTCATCTGCAACAAAAGCAAAGAACCTTATGGAGCTCAGACAACACTAATGGAGCTTAAAAGAAGAAGCCCACTCTAACACTAACTAACACAATATGATTCAAACCAGTAGAGGTGTATACCAAGTCAACACGTGAGAATCATGTGTGTTGTAAACAATGTAGTATAAGTCGTTGGTGACTCACATCTCCCTAGATGATAAGAAAAATATAATCTTGTGAGAAGATGATGTAACAGATTCAAGAGAGAAAGAGAGAGTCACCATTGTAGACCAACGAGAGCTCAAGTTTGAGCTACTCTAGTGGATTGCTAGCTAAGCTATAGCCCCAGTGAGTATAACTCCTTCTTCACATTGAGAAAAGGAGGTGAACCAGGGTAAACAAGATTGTGTGTCTCTTTTGTTTGCTCTTGTTCTTGATTGTTCTTAGATCAATCTACAAATCCGAGTAGATTCAAGATAAGAATCTCACAAGAGTTTATAATAGGTTCTCGCCTATAAAACGAGTCACATCACCTCTGAAGCAAGAAATAAAGAAACTAAATAGCAGGAACCCACTCATAAGAACACATCACCACTGTGAAGCATTACTACCTCCTCTTAAAGAAAGGAAAATCCAAACCAAGAGACTATCACATACCCAAAAACTGAAGAGAAAATACCCCAAATATACACAAAATCGGGTCCAAAACCATTGATGCATTGAAAAGTCTCAAGGATGCGTCTTCACCTTCAGAAAGAGAAAAGGAGAGCCACTACCAACAGAGTCCAAGTAAACCAACCAGTGGCAAGGATGCAGTCATGCAGCAACTCTAAACATTGGTGCCAGCAAAGAGAAAACTATCACTGCTGCCGCTGAGAACAAAAGAGCAGTTTCACACTGCAATGCTGAAGCAAGGAATTGTTGACAATCGAGACCATGGGTCAGAGACAAAAGAAAGGGACCAGCACCACGAGAAACAATCATCACCGCGAAGGCAAGAGAAAACTTGGAATCTTGTGCTAATTCTCTTTGAACTCGAGAAATCTTTCCATGGTTATCTTTAAGAGAAAACTCGAGCTCAAATTAAAAATCCTATAATAGTCTTTCTACATTCATATTCGAGTTTCTTTGTAAATATGCCACGGATTTTCAACACTATCTTCCATAATGAAGTGTTTGCATGGACATAGTGGCGGATAAAAAAACAAATTTAGTGGAGTCATAAATTTAATTAATTATTTTGTTATATATATTTGTATTGAAAATTGTTTTGAATACTACATACTTAATACTTAATATATCATTTAAAATTAGAAAACTTGAATTAAATTAATTGGAAAATAAAACTAAATAATAAGTATTTTGTACGAAAAGTTAAAATAAAATATTATACTAAAATTATTTATAGCATATAAAATTTAAAAAAAATCCGCAAAAATATTAAAAGAAATAAGAATAATCTAGCTTATTTTTTTTAAGTGTATATTATAATTGAATGTTTATATCCATTTAAAAAGGGAAAAGTTAGTTTAGCCCAAAAGAAACAATAAAATTGGGTTGTAAAACAAAATAGGTTGTTTTTGGTCCATGATAAAATGACAAAACTAAAAGGTTTATGGTGCAAGAATTGAAGTTGGGTTTTATTTTATTTTTATTTTTTAGGGGGGGGAGGGGGGTGTGTGTGTTAAAGTTTAGGATTTTAAGAAACAAACCTACAATAATTGTCTTTCAGTTAACACTTATAATATTTTTGAGGTGTCAAGGTGTTAATTGACCCCCTTTTCACAACGTGTATCCGCCACTACATGGACATTTCAAGAGTTTCAGTCTTTTCTAACATAGTTTTAAAACCTTTCAATGGTAAAGAATCGTCTATCAAAGCGAAAACACTTCTTTGGAGTGTCTTTAGTATAAGTAACTCGAGTAATTACTAGATGATGAGCAGATCTATGCAGTTCCAAACTTCTGCTTTGCAAGGAAAATTTTTGTTAACAAACAAAACTCTAATAGTGGTTCTACAATTAACACTTATAATTTTTATGGGGTGTCGGTTGACCCATTTCCACAACGTGTGTCTGCCACTGCATGGACATTTCAAGAGTTTCAACCTTTCCAAACATAGTTTTAAAATCTTTCACTGGTAAAAATCTTCTATTAAAGCGAAAAATACTTCTTTGGAATGTTTTCAGTATAAGCAACTCGAGTTTTTACTAGATGGTGAACAGATCCATACAGCTCCAAAATTCTGCTTTGCAAGGAAATGTTTTTTGTAGCCATTCTGCATTGTCAATACTTTGATTAAGACATCACCTCATAGTATGTTGACACCAATTTGTAAACTACTTTTTCATCTGTGAAATCCATTACCAAAGAAACAAGTTTGAGATACTCAGGAGGATAACACAAGCACATCTCCTGAAACTAAAACCCACATATGGGAGACGATAGAAAATATATATAATAGAACCAACAAGCTCAATATAAGGAACCAAACACCTCGAAGTGAAACTGAGCGCAAAAAACAAATGGAGACCAATGGACCACAAAGAACTAGAGAAAAGGTCCAAACAACAATCAAGAACAAGGTATAAACTACTTTCATATTTATTTATTGTTTGCCTTAATAACAAATCTTTTTTTTTTTTACTTTTTGTCAAAATTTATTTTATTTATAAACTTTTTTGGTTTACTTTATTTATCTTTTGCTTCCATAGTGAAGCAGTAAATCTCTGCTAAAGTGCCTTACTGGATAGCAGAAACTACATTTCCTGAGTGGATGAAGCAAAATTTTCTTACGTTTCAGTTTTAAACTAAAAAATATATCATTCATGATTGTGGCTCTAAATTGATATATATATATATCAACTTTTAATTTTCCTGTAATCATAATTCACAAGTTCACAATAAAAAAGAAGATACCCCGAAGAGAAAAAAAAATTAAACTCATCAACAACAAAAATAAACCCTGAAGATTGAATCGTTCATAGAAATATATTACAAAAAAAAAAAAAAATACATTAAACAACTGAATCAACTACACAAGAAAAAGAACGAAAACTTGTTTTTTGACCAAAAAAAAAGAAAGACAACTTGTTTGTTTCCAGTTGCCGGGACTAAGTTTACAATCAATAAAAGGAACCCAATTTGGAGAAACATTCAATTGGGCTTATCCTAATTAAGAAAATTAATTAGTCCATTTTCATCTTGAGATTTCACAAGTGGGACTGATCAGCCCTATTTGCTCCATCTCCCAACTTTTTTTTGAGGCTACCTTTTCATGCCTTGGTACATATTCCTATTTTTTTTTTAACCAAAAAGACATTTAGAAACGAACTTTAATAAACATATAGTTAAACAAATAAAATAAAAAATAAAAGGAAAATATGACCTCAAGTTTCTTCACAAGGTCTTTAGCAGAAGGAGCAGAGACAATGATATGACGAGCAGTTGGTGTAATGAAACCTTCTTCCACTGCTTTGTCTATGAATGATAACAATGAATTGTAGTATCCTTCTACATTCAATAGTCCCACCTTCACATTCATTTTAAGTTATACAATCATCAACTAAAATTCATTAATTATGAATTATTGTAAACAATGTAATATAAACGGAGACAAAATGATTACTGGTTTATCATGGATTCCAAGCTGTGCCCAAGTGATTACTTCAAGAAGCTCTTCAAGTGTTCCATATCCACCTATGTATATATAATATCCACCATTAATTCTCATTTACTAATCAAAATTTATATAGGATTTAATTTATAAAAGTGTAGTGTTTTTCAATAGTACAAGATAACAATGAAATATTTAGCTAAAAAGGGTTAAAATTGTAGTAGCCGATGATGATATAATAAAAACCACGAGACACATAAAATAATAAAAAAAGTGGATAAGAAAAAAGAAAGGAACCAACCAGGTAAAGCGATAAAAGCATCAGAGTGCTTAGCCATTTCAGCTTTCCTTTGGTGCATGTCTGCTACTGCCCTCACTTCTCCCACTGTCTCTCCTGTTATCTTTATTCAGAAATAAAATTTTCAAATTATTATTTATTGTTATCGCCACTCACTCACCACTTGCGTGTGTCATATGTATGGTCCAAAACAAAATGACAAAGTCTTACACACTCACAACTTGTTCTATGGTATCCATTCTCTCAGAAATTTTAATTTAAAACTTGTGAATCTGATAAATGATTCGATAATGTAATTTACAAATCGAGTTTTATCTATATGCAATCATATGTTAGCCCATTATGCTGGGAGAAAGAATATGTGTAATGATGATTTAGTCTCTCGAGGTGGTTGTCTTACATTTATCACTTTGACCCCTTTCCTAGAAAGGTAATCATATTTTGGGCAACATGATTGGTGACATTTTATTTTTTAATTAACTCAAAACTCTAAATTAACTACACACTTGACAACAAAATTTAACAAAAATAAAAGAAACATGAAAATATCAGTGGCCAGTAAATTGGGGGCATTTTGTCTCAATTGAAACCCTCTCTGATATAAGACAAATATGTGATACATGTTTAAAGATAGCATTTCTGAGGTTGATGTATTTATTATTCTATTACCTACCACCAATTTGTTCAAATTCTTTTTCTGTTTTATGAAAAGTGGTAAAAACCAATAATACTATTTTGTAGTTATGTTTCGGACGTACCTCTTTTGGCATTAGTGTCTTGGGGATAACTCTGTAGACAGTAACAAGACAAAACAGTTGGTTTAAAAAAAAATAGAGTCGCAAAAATTACAACACGTATTCTCATATTATCCATTTTAATAATTGTTATATTTTTAACTTTAATGACTGGAGAAAACTGAAACTAGAAAAAACAAACCCGATGACATGGCGACCTCCATTGTAAACAGCTTGAGAAATCAAACCCATTAAACCAATGCTCCCTCCACCATAGACAAGATCGATATTTCTTGATACCTAGGCAAATATAAACATTTGGTTTTGGTGATTTTTAGTAGGGTTTTATTAAGTAGTCGTTGTCATAACTAACTAGTAAATACAACTGTCGACAAAAGAGAGAAAAAAATCATACACGTAACAGTGGATAAAGATACTGTAGAAAACATACTATAGGGGCCGAAACTCCATAATCACATATTTGGTAAGAGTACTTACCAAATTACAGTGAAAAAGATGGTAAAAAGTATGAGCTTTCCCATCAGAATTCAACAAAAATCCCTTTGAATTCGATCTCTTTTTAAGCTTTGGAACTATATCTACCAGTAACCACAGTATGTACAAACTAAATATGATATTCTTTTGATTAAAAATCATCCAAAGAAGATAATGGGCAATTATAATATTGAATAGTTGACTCCACAAACTCTAAATGGCTAACATGATTTAGCGACGACAAGTCAATTGCGTAAACCCAACTTGTATTTGGTCAATGGAAATTTATAATTTATTTGAGATGCCACAATGGATATTCAAAACGAAACTATTTTGTTGGTAGCGCAAAAATTATCTCATATATTGTTCGGATTAATATCATTATAGATTCATTATTCCTCTCTCTTGTATTGCTAATACATACTAATTCTTGTTCATTGTACGATGTTTTGAGTGAATACAAAGGTGATTAAGAAATGGTATAAGCTATCTGTACATTGTTTTTCTTTTAGCTGCAACGCCAATTTAATAATATAGAGGTAACTAAAATGAGCCATGAAAATCTGAAATAGAAGAATTATCATGTGGTTTGAAACATGAGTCTTCCCAAAAACTTGGAATTTAACTATGAACTGTTTTCAAACCCGAAGAGGAAAAACAGAGACTCTGAGTTGCTCATAAAATGTGGTAAAAAGATAATCAGTTCAATTTTTAGATTCAAAGCTACTCTTCTTTTACACACAAAAAGAAGTTCGTAGAAAAGCAAATAATTAAGAAGAAGTTTCTAAAGAAAAGAACAAGAAAGAGAGAAATTGGATACCAGTTCGGCTCCGAGTTCGATAGCAGCATCTCTGTAACTGGTTTTATTACCAGCACTACTTCCACAAAACACACATATTCTCTTGAACTTTTGTTCAACTTCCATCTCTTTCTCTTTTTCTTTTTTCCAATACACAAAGTTTTGCTTTTAAGATATCGAAGAATCTCTTTCTCGTTGTGTGTTGGTGTGAATGTTCTTTGCACACACATATATATATATAGAATATTAGAGGGTGGGGTAATATACCCTAGGTCATACGCTTCGTAATAGTTATATCTCAAAAAGAAACTTTTAAAATAAATAAATAAATATTGCCTACATGACTTTCACGTTCTTTTTTTTTTCTTTCCAAACGAGTTTGACATTCTCTGATAATAAATACTTAAATAGATAAGAAATGATTGGATAATACGAAATGCAGAATGAATATTCTTAGGAGCTAATCACAAAACTACCGAAGAGTACTATTTAGAAAGTGAACTTCAAACTCTTCTTATTGCTATTCAAAACTGCTGGAGCAAAAGGATATAAGAGGGTCATATTTCAAGGGGACAATCAACAAATTGTACAACATTTTGAATAATGAAGTGAAGAACTTTGCAGTCACGAACTGGATTCGATATATACGACAATGGGAAGCTAAATTTACAGTCGTCCGATACGCATGGGTCAGACGAAATTTAAATTCGGTTGCAGATATACTTGCCAAAGAAGCAATTCCGGAACAAGCAAGATTTTTATTTTCATTCCTCTATATTCCATCTGCTATTAAAAATCATGTATGTGTAGATTTTCACAATTACAAAATAAATGAAAATAGTTGGAATAACAAAGATAAGAAAAAGTTTTAGAATTGATATTTTTATTGGTTATGTTATATGCAGGTGAATAATACTACAACTAGATTTTAACTTGCACGGACGTGCATATATTTTGAGAAATTATCTAAAATACCACAAGTTAAGTATCACTTTTCAAACATTCCCCCAATCAAAAATATACTAAAATTTAACTTTAATTTATACAACTTATATGTTTAGTTTTTTTCGTGGTGCATTTCAAAATTTTATTATATTATCTATGATTTTATCTTCTGTAAAATTGAAATTATTATCCTTTTGAGTTTGAATATTTATTTTTTAAATTTTATATTTTGTCAAAAAACTTTGGAAAATTATACAAATATTTTTGAGTTTGAAACATTACATGAATTTTGAATTTTTTTTGTTACTATATTAATATTTTATTTTATTAAAATTTGAATTTTGGTAGTATTTTAAAAAATTTCTCAGTAAATTTTGTTATAACTAAAATAAAAATAATTTTATAGTTAAAATTTGATTTGGCATTAATATTTTAAACAAATTACTAAAATATCATAGTTTTCTGATAACATATTTTTTAAATAGTAAATAAAGTAAAAGTTATTATATCCTATTATATTTTTGATATGAATATTTTTAAATAATATATTGTTGAGTGTTTCAAAATAAATAAAAAGATGATTATAGTTGTAGATATTAGAGTTTAACCTATGTTAATACATTTATTTCTGTATAAAAATATTAGATAATTTATGAATTTTAACCTATTTTAATGATGAATGATAATTTATTTAAATGAAATAATTTTAAATTATAGAATTTTTTAATTTATCTATTTAATATAATTTTGTCATGTCTAATTCATACAACACTGCTATTATTACATAACACGGAATATAATTATATAATGTTTATTTTCTTGTTTTATAATCAAGATAAGATAATGAGGTTCATTAGTTGGTGCTGTAGTTTTAGTTTTTTTTTGCTTTAGTAAATAGGCTGTGGATTTTCTTGCTTTGGATTTTATTATTTTGCTGTAGATTTATTTTCAGACTTCCTTACAAATTATTGAAATGACCATCGACGGTTTGTCTTTACTATTTTAAGACAATTTCAATATAGATGCTCATTCCTTAATTGCTAAAGAACCAAAGATATTACGACAGATATCTTATACTAGCCATTTTGGGCAAGCACAACCATTTTGGCCACCACATATTAAGAAATTGTGGTCTACCACCTTGTTTCTACCAAATTCTTTTTTTTTAATAGATATAATAATAAAGGTCCAAATTTTTTATAACTAGTAGAATTTGTCTTGGGTGTAATATGTTACTATGCTTTTAGTAATGAGTCTAATGACAATCATGTCTTGCAAAATATTTATTTAGTTATTTTATAGGTAAAAAATAATTAAATTATTCCTCTCTTTTCTTATACGTTTTATTCCATCATATATTTTTTTTTGTTTAATTTGGGGATATTTCAAATTCATGGAAAGATTCAGAATAATTTTTAAGAGGAATTGAAACCCTCTTTTCTTATACGTTTTATTCTATCATATATATATTTTTGTTTAATATGGGGATATCTCAAATCCATGGAAAGATTCATAGTAATTGGTATTCAAATGGGTTCTAAAGTATGGAGCCATATCCGTGTTAAATGACTTGAAATAATTGTGACTTAATTTCATGCAACAGGTGAAATGAAACTGAAAAGTGTTAGCGTCGTAACCCCAACTTTTTTTACCATTCGACCATAATCATCTGATTTATTTCATCGTAATTTTGCAATGAAATAACGAATAAATTTCTGTGTTATGCTCATTTAGCAAAGTAGTGCTGATTTTTGTTTCTTTGATAGATTATGAACTTTTGGAAGCGTATAATTATCTCAATGAAGACTTGATTGAACAACTAAAACACACAACACTATATCAACGTGAAGTTTGGGCTAATGATTTAATCCATGTAAGTCAAAATGTAGACATTTAGGGGGGGGGGGGGGGTTGAGTTTGCTTCCATTTGGTAGGAATCATGCACGAATCCAGAAAATATTATTATTGGAGGCATGTTTAGTGAATGTAAATAAGAAATGGACTGAATTAATCATGAAAGTATAAAAAACAACAACAACAAAAACTGCATAGGTAAAATTTTGTCCCTTTTCTTCAAAGTTTAAACTTTGAACAATCTATACTATTAAAGCAGTATTCCTATTAGGATTCTACCATTAATTTTTCATCATATTTACATTTCAATGCCATTCCTATTTTATGCATAACAACATTTATTATTTTCATCTAAATTACTATAAATTCGTTAAGCTTGCATTATTTATTTGCATTAAAATTTTCCAAATTCTACACGTTCAAAATCTTAACCGACATGATGTATTTAATAATTTTCAACGTTAAATTATACATTAACTCTACCAAACATTTATTTCAAATAATGCTCAACGTATATTATTGGCCAAATAATACATGGGTTTATTCCAAAATATTCTCAGCATAAATTAAAAAGATGTAACTATGTTTTAATAAAACTTATATGTATATTTTTTCACTTAATAATATTTCAACCTAAAAAAATCTAAATCTTTCAATAGTACATAGTCCGTGTAACAATTAATTTAGCACTATAAATAAGAATATATGAACTTATTTATTACAGATATATTTTTTGCATTAAATATTCCTTAATATGGATAGTGTAATATTTACTGTTAATAAGATCTATCAACAAATTTTGGCTCTAACTGGTGACTATTAAAATAGGAATAGGAATGAGTAGGAAAATAATAAGTAGGAACAAAATAAAAGGAATAAAAAGGAAAATTTATTACTTTGGTTCCATATCAATTTTGATAAGGAATATTTTTGTTCTATAATTCCTTAGAATTCAAGGAATGAAAAGGAATCATACGCAGGAAATATTCCTTATGAATGGTGTTTTTCTTAAGGAATAAGTAGGAATTGGTTATTCCCCTTCGTTCCTTATGTTACCATTTAGACCCTTTGAGAAATAGACGTAACAGAGATTTTAGAGAGGTGAACAAACAAAAAACAGAAATTTAGGCTTTGACTGGTGACCACCAAAAGAATAATAGGAACAATGAGGAAAGGAATGAAGAGGAACAAAATAATAGGAACACTTGTTCCATGTTGTTTCTCCTCGAATTTGATAAGGAATGGTTTTGTTCTTTGATTCCTTAAATTAAAAGGAATGAGAAGGAATATTAAAGAAAAATTATTCCTTATAAATGGTGTCAAATTTAAGGAATGAAGAGGAATCAACTATTATGATTTCTTATAAATGGTGTCAAATTTAAGGAATAAAAAGAAATTAATTATTCCCACACATTCCTTTGGTCACCAGTTAAAGCCTTAATAATAGGGGTCTTTTCAGGGAAGGTTGTGTACACCAAGATTTGTGACATACATATAAAAATTTATAAATCGATTTGGCTAATATTTTAATAGGTTTCACTTTGATTTAATACAACACTAAATTCATTTGATATTAATATTATTTAATTATATAATATATCACATTATAGGTTATATTTTACAATTGCAGTTTTTTAGATTTCATAAGCATGTAGATATTTATCATGTATGACTGTTTGAATGATATATAGTTAATTTATATTATATAAAATAATTTTGGAAAAATATAAAAAATATAAAAATAAATTTATAATATACTTTGAAAACTTTCAGAATATAAGTAAAAATACATACAAGTTATTTAAATGAATTGTCTTATATTCCTAAAATGATATTCTTATAAACATTAATTTAATTATATATACTTTAAAACAAAAAAAGAATAAAACATAGTATAAATTTTGAATTTCATTAAATAACTTTCAAAAAGTTAATCCCGCGCTTTTAAAGCGTGGGTCAAAATCTAGTAGTCTTTTATAAAAAAATGTGGGTGCAAGTTAACCAATGAATGTGCGCTTAAAGCTTTAGCCTTTTATGTTCTGGAAAATTTATATCTAGACTCAGAATCTCTTATATATTATTTGAAAAGCAATATAATATATGATATAATCATGTGTCATCACCAAAATATAGAATTTCTAGAGCAATAGATTAGTGCATCTAAATATATACTAAAAGTTTCATTAAATTAACATAAATTAATTATTAATGTTCTTCATATTTTCCTTTAATAAAAAGTATGAAATTGACTAATGTGATTAAAGTATATAAGAAAATTAGTGATTTTGAATAATAAAGATTTGATAAAAAAATTTGTATCCACTGTC